GTTTAATGTGTGCACCAGCATATTAGTCACATGATCAAAATCCTGAGATAAAAATTAGATTCTTCATAGATAGTTGTTGTCGGACCTGTTGTTTTCATAATTGGACATACCTTCAACTTCAGTAGGTCTAGGGAAGGAAGAGAAGAAAAATCAACTATTTCACCTCGTGTCATAATAACCATTGTTTTCAGGTTTCAAGGCACAAGTGTAGTGGAGATGTCTTTCATTTAATAAGAAGCCACCGTAAAGCAGACGAAAGAAGGCATTTAAGGGACACTTACTCTAATTAAATTTGATGTGCCATGGTCTAGTACACAAATATGGAAGTTGCACGTAGTTGCTAGATTCGAAGACAATACAAAAGTTAGCCTTATGGAAGTTACTTGTCATGACAAACATGTAGAAGGAAAAATCACAGGAGCATGCAGGGGTCGAGGCACACATATTATCAGCTGTGCTCGGCCGCAGCATTGCTTCGCGATCCGCAAAGTCATTCAATTTCGCATGAGGGCACACCAAGTTTTAGTTTCTGAAAGTTGTGACTTTTGTTGTTTGTCGTATCAAGTTTCAACGGTTAAAACTTGAAGAAGTTTTAAAAACTCGTCAAAACGTATTCAAAATAGGTTTTATTTCAAAGCCCTCGTCACAAGAAACACGAATATGAAAACGGCGCTAAATTTGGACGTTCAATTCAAAAGATACAGAGATTGAAAATTGAAAGCCAAAAGAAAAAATGGGGTTGGTGCCCCCGCCCTTGTGTGCGTGAAATCTCCTTCCATATGTAGAAGTACAATATGAGGGAAATGATGAATAAGCATGAGCTGGCAGGATGGACTTCGAAAAGGCGGACATCATGATTGGGCTGATATATATCTATTGAGCAAGTTAGTTTGTCTTAGATATCCTTACAAAGTTTGTCTTAGATATCCTTACAAAATTATATGGCTCTTAGACAGAAAGCCCAGACAACGGGATTTTTCTAAGGGCACTAAGGCGGTCAAAAGCAAAAATTAGATAACGGGATATGGATATGCGTGGATCCCGTAGATGCCTCGATGTTCTTACTCCAACCATTGGTTCTCTCAATCCTTCCTTCCTCTCATATTTATTGGCAGGGCCTAGCATCAAGGTTCAAAATATCAGACATTGGGTTCTTGCCAGTTTGGCTTCGACATATCGGATGATATGTAATACGTCTCCAACGTATCTACTTTTCCAAACACTTTTGCTCTTATTTTGGACTCTAACTTGCATGATTTGAATGGAACTAACCCGGACTGACGTTGTTTTCAGCAGAATTATCATGGTGTTATTTATGTGCAGGAGCAAACGTTCTCGGAATGACCTAAAATTTCACGGAGCCACTTTTCAGAAAATAAGAAAAATGTCTGCAAAAGATGAAGGCCAGGAGACCCACCACCTTGCCACGAGGGTGGGGGGCGCGCCTGCCCCCTAGGGCGCGCCCCCTACCTCGTGGGGCCCCTGTTGTGTCTCCGACTCCAACGCCAACTTCATATATTGAGTTTCGGGGAGAAAAAAATCAGAGAGAAGAAATTATCGGGTTTTACGATACGGAGCCGCCGCCAAGCCCTAAAACCTCTCGGGAGGGCTGAGTCCGTTCGGGGCTCCGGAGAGGGGAATCCGTCGCCATCGTCATCATCAACCATCCTCCATCACCAATTTCATGATACTCACCGCCGTGCGTGAGTAATTCCATCGTAGGCTTGCTGGACGGTGATGGGTTGGATGGGATCTATCATGTGATCGAGTTAGTTTTGTTAGGGTTTGATCCCTAGTGTCCACTATGTTCTGAGATCGATGTTGCTATGACTTTTGCTATGCTTAATGCTTGTCACTAGGGCCCGAGTGCCATGATTTCAGATCTGAACCTATTACGTTTTCATCAATATATGAGTGTTCTTAATCCTATCTTGCAAGTCTATAGTCACCTATTATGTGTTATGGTCCGTTAACCCCGAAGTGACAATAATCGGGATACTTACCGTTGATAACCGTAGTTTGAGGAGTTCATGTATTCACTATGTGTTAATGCTTTGTTCCGGTTCTCTATTAAAAGGAGGCCTTAATATCCCTTAGTTTCCGTAAGGACCCCGCTGCCACGGGAGGGTAGGACAAAAGATGGCATGCAAGTTCTTTTCCATAAGCACGTATGACTATATTTGGAATACATGCCTACATTATATCAACGAACTGGAGCTAGTTCTGTGTCACCCTAGGTTATGACTGTTACATGATGAACCGCATCCGGCATAATTCTCTATCACTGATCCATTGCCTACGAGTTTTCCATATATTATTCTTCGCTTATTTATTTTTTCGTTGCTATTGCTATCATCACTACAAAATACCAAAAACACTATTTTTACCACTGTTATCTTTTGCTACCGTTACCACTACTATCATATTACTTTGCTACTAATTACTTTGCTGCAGATATTAAGTTTCCAGGTGTGGTTGAATTGACAACTCAGCTGCTAATACTTGAGAATATTCTTTGGCTCCCCTTGTGTCAAATCAACAAATTTGGGTTGAATACTCTACCCTCGAAAACTGTTGCGATCCCCTATACTTGTGGGTTATCAATATGTCAATATATTGGAGAGAATGTATGTGAATTGTTTTCATTATTCTTGTTCAAAACATGTCGTTTTTTTGCGGGGGCAAACCATTTTAGTAAAACAAAATATTTGATGTCAATGCTCTGACATAACAAATTTAGACTCTACTTTTATTAACTTCTTAATCAAGAAAGTCCTTAAGAAAGATTCACAAAATCCTTAATCTAAAATAAAAAAAATATGTTATATATGCTTTTCTACAAAATATTAAGCATGACTTTGATAATATGATGAAGTGGTAAATACATAATTGTATTTTCGTTACTTTCTGATAAAGAATTATTGTCATCTACATATCGGTCTATATCAGTGGCCATATTGGCCAAATATATGCCATATCGGTGGATATTTCAATACATGTCAGATGATACATGTAAAAATGATATTTACAAAATGATATTCGTGTTTACATCGCCAGATCTCCAAAACCAATAAATATGCCCATATATTGGTCGTATCGGCCTATATTTAAAAGGCTGTGTCTAGCGTTTATTGTGGTCTTCTTGATTTGGGAGCGTTGATGCTTCTGTTCTTCGGTTCCTCCCTTTTGTGTCGCTCGGTTTGAACCAGGGCCGATAGATGCTTGACAAGCTTTGATTTTTCCCATTTCATCTCGTGTAATGTAATGTACAGCACAAAGATAAAATTAATTTTTGATCATCATATGTTATGAGTTTCTTCATAACTGGAGGCTTATACATATATGCATCTATATATATCGACAATGCACTGTAGGAAGGTGTTTGTAGCGCACTGCAGAGTGCAGCTTTCTATGCCACTGGACACCGTTGTGCATCCAGTTGTTGATGCCCTAATGGAGGGCGACTGGCTGCTCAGAATTCTTCCGGTACACATACCGGTTTGCAAAATACAAGAACACGACCACCTCCAAGGCGCTGAGGCCAGCCAAGATCCAGTAGAAGTAATCGAGGTGCGCGCGGTTGAGGTTGTCGGCGAACCAGCTCTCTCCCCCGCCCCTCGTCGTGGCCCAGTCGACCGCCCACACGAGCATGCCGCTGGCGTAGCTCCCCACGCCGAAGATGCTCAGGCACAGGGCCAGCCCCACGCTGCGGAGCCCGTCGGGCACCTGGTCGTAGAAGAACTCCTCCAGCCCGATGAAGCAGAACACCTCTGTGAAGCCCACCAGGACGTACTGCGGCACCAGCCACCACAGGCTCATCGGCACCGCCACGTCGGGCCGGTCGAGCAGGCCGGCGTCAGCGGCCACGCGGAGGCGCTTGGCTTCCACGAGCGCCGCGACGGCCATGGTGACGCAGGACATGACCATGCCGGCGCCGATGCGCTGGAGCATGGTGACTCCCGCTGGGTGCCTGGTGAGGCGCCTCGCGAGGGGCACGAGGGCGCGGTCGTAGACGGGGACCACCGCGATGTAGGTGAAGCTCACGAAGCTCTGAAGCGCCGCGGGCGGCACGACGAGGCCCGTGGCCGCGCCCAGGCGCCTGTCCATCGTGCTGCCCTGCTTGGTGAACAGGGTGGAGACCTGCGAGGTGGCCGCGGCGATGACTATGCTTGACAACCAGATAGGAAGCAGCTTAATGAGGAACCCTTTGCCGTCCACATCTTGGTCCGTCGCCAAAAGCCTGCACAAGTAAAAACACCCGCCATTACTCACTACCATGACACCATCTCTCTGTCACGTCAATTTGCACTCACCGGTGTGTGTCAGTGGTGGCATTGTTGGTTCCAAATGTGAGCTTCTTGGTGAGGTGCGCCAAGGAACTGCTGTCCACGGGCTGCTCTACACGGTAAGTCCTCGTGCCGAGCAAGAAGACGACGAGGTACACCACCATGGTGGCCCAGCACACGGCGAACCCCTCCGTCCAGCCGACATTCTCCTCGATGTAGGTGACCACGATCGCCGCGATGGCGTAGCCCCACGATATGGAGAAGTGAAACCAGTTGAAGTAGGAGCTCCGGGACGCACCGACGCTGGGATCGAACTGGTCCGCGCCCAAAGCCTCCGAACATGGCATGTGGAAGCCCTGCGCCAGTGCTAGCAGGTAGATCGCGGTGTAGAAGAAGGCGAGCCGGGCAGGCGATGATGCCGAGGGCAGCGGCGAGCAGGTGCTGCCTGTGCTGTGGCAGCCGGCAGGATGAGGTTGCGGCGTTTGCAGCATGGACGAGACCGTCAGCATTCCCAAGCTCTGCTCATCATCAACATTAGTAACGGGATGTAAAGTAGGGTGTGGTTAGGTGTCAGTCAACTAAGAGATTTAACAAAATCTCATTCAAGTGACATATAGTATATAAGAAGAAAACAATGCATAAATCTTCACACAAGCTCGAACGAATATAGTATCGACTGAGACATAACCAATTAGCAAAACTGTATAAAAGTATGCACATGAAAGCATTACAGAGGGGTCTCCATTTTAATTGGGAATATTTATTTATTCAAAAAAATCCAAAAAAAATGAAAAAAAAATCTTGAATGTTCAAAACACATGTGTCCACAATCCCTAAAAGTTCAAGTCCAAAATTAAAATATACATGGAGAAACAAAAAAGAGAAGTCCCCGTGTGAATAGTGTCATTTTTTCCATCAGCCTTTTTTTGACACCATTCATCCTTTTTCTCTTAATGTGTATTTCAAATTTTGATCTGAACTTTTTGGGGATAGTAGAAATATATTTTGTGAACATTAAAAAAACTAAGAAATTTTCAACAAATGTAAAAATTTTGTAACGTGGTATCACGTGATACATGGTATCGTAGGATATTTTCACCTTGGATACTAGCCCTTTCTCGAAATCACTAGCAGCAGCAGAAATGCACGGACTGCCGGACTGATGTTCTTTTGAATTTGTGCATGTAAAACCTAAGCATATTTGCCTCCTTTTGGTTGTGATCGGAGATGCGATTCGGCGGGTGTGATTCGACGCATTGTGTGGTTTAGCATAGATTTGAATTTGAATTTGCTGACGGACAGAATGCGGCTAACGTTGGATGGCTACCTCCTGTATCCGTGTTCGCGGACTGGTCACCCCTGTCCACGGACGGATGCGGGAGGTTTTTACCGGGTTGCCGTTGAAGATGCCCTAAAAATGGTATATTGACAATTGAAAAAATATTATACTTTTATGTAAACTTGGTGGAACTTCAGAAAGTTAAACTTCAAATAAAATTAATATGTGAAGTAAAATAGAGTGCTATAACAGAATTTTTTTGTTTTATCTTTTTTTCGGCAATCTTATCTTTTATTTGAAGAGATTGCATGTTACCCAGAGTATCTGCTCTTGGACTCACATGCTCCCGTATAAATAGTAAAATCGAGAAAAGGGTTATTTTTTTAAAAAAAATCTATTTTTCTTACAAACAGTAAGGAAAGTTTTGGGCGTTTGGATAGTTTCATCATGAAATCACAATCATGGAAGTCATGGGGAAAAAATGATACTCCAAAAATTCCAAACACATTTCGGAGCACTGCTTTTTTGTTTGGCTGCGACTTCTACGAATGTGATTTCATCTTGGAACTTTGCAAGCACTCAAACATTCCTTAATATTTGCCACACAAAAATCAGAATGTTTTGAATTTATTTTTCATTTGTTTTTACTGTTGTGCTCGAACTGAGAAGGACACTTTGGCATGTTACTCTCTTACAAACAGTACAGATAAAGTAGAGTGTGGTTTCTCACAAAAAAAAGAGTAGACTACGGCAACCAAAAATCTTATCTTTTATTTTTAATGGAGAATCTTACGTTTTATCTGACGACCAATATGGCAACCAAGAACCATCGTTTAGAGAAAATTAAAATTTATGTACTCCCTTCATCCCAAAACATAAGAACGTCTTACATTTTGGACGGAGGGAGTATCTATTTATTTTTTTTCTATTTTAGCTACATATCAGTCGATTGATTTTCACAATTAGGTCGGTCGATTTTTGAACGAAAGAAAGAGGAAGGGCCTCGCCGGAGCTAAAGAAGGGGCTCACAGTCATCACCTCATTATCTATCTTAGGGTTCAGAGTGATGGCGTGGTGGGGCAGCTGCGGGGCTTCGCGGAAGAAAAAACTCAACACGGGAAGGGGAGGGTGGCTAGAGGGATGACCGGGGGCGATGAAAGAGGTGGTGGAGTGGTTCAGGTAAGGGCGGGACGGCGAGGCGGTCGTGGGAGCGCCACCGGCCGCAGGAGGCGGCGGTAGCTGGCTGCGGGGAGAAAGTAGATGTGCGGGAGGTTGAAAAAAAGGCTATGTCCGTTGATTTCGCATCTGACGTTCACAAAATTGATTGACCCCAAGCGAAATTTTCAGCTGACTCACGAGATCCAGCCACGCCCAATTCTGTACGGACGGGACCAGCTTGGCTCCTAGCGCTGGAGTATCTCAGAATGACAGCAGCAGTACGCATCACATCACATGGATGTGTCATCTGTCGGTTGCCTTCTGGTTACTTCCCCGCTAACCCCGCGGTCTGGAACCTCAACGAGATGGTCGATCCAGACATTTCTCGGTTGTGTACCAAGGATAGGCGACGATGCATCAATTCGCCGACGGCAATTGAACCAGACCTTTTGCCGTGGCTGGATGGCAACTCCAAAAGGTTTCGCATAGTACTGACACACGCCCCAGAATGAAGTCTTGGCGAAATTCTACGGTGGAGCAAATCATTGTCACCTCCGCCGCCCGACCGCCTACCGCGCAATAATGGCAAGGGAATCAAGGCGCGGCATGGATGATGCTCTAAAGATGCTCGGAACAGGGGAGGGGGCGAAGTTTGTGCTAGCACTGACCAGCAGGTAGAGCACGCCGGCTATCAGGACGGCGCGGTACCGGCCGAGGCGCGAGTCGGCGGCGAGCGCGCCGACGAGCGGCAGCACCAGCACGGTCCCGGACCAGGCGTTCACGCCGGCGGCGGCGGCCGCCGTGGACATGCCCAGCGGGCCGGTCAGGTACGTGATCAGGTTGCCCCCCACGCCGGTGAACCCGATGCGCTCCAAGAACCCGACGGCTGCACGCAGGCACGGCGCACAGATGGTTAGTTCAGGCTTTTAAACACATATTAAGCGAGAGACGTTTAGGACGAAACAAATTAGCTCGCACGGCGGGGAATGATCGGCGAGATTACCGACGATGAAGAGCGCGGCGCGCCAGCCGCCGCGGCGGCCGTCGCGACGTGGGAGTGGCTCGCCCGACTCCATCGCTTCGCGCCTTGGCGCTCTGGCCGGAGGTGGTGCCGGTGCGTGATCTATTCAGTGTGTGCCTTCTGCTGGCGGACCTGCAGGTTACAGCTGCCCTGGGCGGTACTTATTACACTACTACCATCCACGTGTCTCTCGTGATGGAGAAGGGGCCTGTCTAAATCGATGGAATTAATAACTGCCCCACTATTATTGTGACTTTGTGAGTGTGGATCAAGGCATGTCTCTCCGTGAAATCAAGTGTGAGATGCAGATCGGTTGGCTTCTCACTTTGGGGCGAGATGCAGATTGCACTCCGGTCGTCTCGTCGAGTCTACATTACAGGCTCGCATTTGTTGGTGTAGACGTATCTCGCTTGGAAAAATACAGGAAACCGAGCACCTCCAAAGCAGCAGAAGAGCTTCCTGATCAGCAGTCTTTTAGCTGACTGTTCAGAGAACGATTTTGTTTGAATAAAGCTCTAAATTCCCTGCAAAAAAAAAAAGAAGCCGGTTGAGGTTGTCCGAGAACCAGCTCTCCCCCTCGTGCTCCTCGTCGCACAGTCAACCGCCGAGACGAGCGTGCCGCTGGTGTAGCTCCTCACGCCCGCGATGCTCAGGCGAGCCCGACGCTCCGTGGCGCGCCGGGCACTTAGTCATAGGAGAACTCCTCGAAGCCGACGATGGTGAACTCGTTGGCGAAGCCGATCGATCAGCACCAACTGCGGCGCAGCTACCTGCCGGCGGTCGACCAGGCCGGCGTCCCTGGCCGAGCGGAGGCGCACGGCTTCCACCAGCGCCGCCACAGCCATGGCGACGGACGCTATGGCCATGCCGACGCCGATGCGCCGGAGCATCATGATTGGGGTCCCGCTCGTGGACCGGACCGCACCGTGCCGGAGAAGGAAGGCCCGCCCAAAATTTGTGACCGGTCTGGTTAGTGAAATCAGTCCGAAAGAACATCCGGTCTGGTCCGGATTTTAACTGGTCGGCTCGATGGGACCGAGAAAAGGCGCAGGCCGACGAACAACTCCCCATAGGCTAAAAAAAAAAACTATTCTCCTAGCACCATATGCGAACCAACCTGTATTTTGATGTTCATGGTTAGAGGGATTGTGGCATTTATTCCTGGATTCCTGGTTAGAGGGCTTGTAATATACTATTTCTTTGTTTATATTTGAGTAATAGAGTTGTGTTGTGATATTATACCGTGAGTCACTGATCATGATCATGCATGCTGCGTGGATGTTTAGTGCACCATTAATTTCGGGGGCGTCACACAGCGCCACCACCGTGCCCGCCGCCAGCCACCGTCTCTAGATCGCCGGAACACCACCGTCCGAGCTTCACTGCCGTCGTCCTCTGCCCCGGGACGGGGAACCGCGCGCGGGTATGGGAGGTCCCGCCGCCGCCAACACCAACCCGACCAGATACAGGGGCGCCTGCCGGCGGCGGCGTGGGGGATGGGGGGTGGACGAAGAGAAAAGGGGCTCTCGCCGCCCCGGCCGCCTCCTGAGGAGACGGTGCTAGGGCAGAGTCAAGAGGGGGAGGGCCCCCATTTGCAACTAGATGTTTCTAGGGTTCGTGCCGCTGTTTACTCGTCCGTGACGTGGGGTTGGGCTGTTAACCCGTCTTCCAGAGCCTTCTTCACACATGACAACACACAAACGTCATAATAGCTAAAGTGTTTAACTTGATAGCAAGTTCACAAACAACAATTACTCGCAAGCTTCACTGAGTTCAAATTACTGACATAAATGAAAACATGTGATAATAAGCAGGGACATCTCCACTCTTCACTCTTTACAGGTCGTTTCTTCATCCTCCTACAAGATGGCAGCAATGATAGAACTAGTAAAGAACACAAAATTTGAATACTTAAACGACTTTACAGCGATGTCACATATTCATCACTTTCATACACGGGCAGTGCCTCCACATGACATCAGAGATAGAGAATTGGGAAAGACTGACATACCGACATTTCAAAGGCTTGGCTGATGGCGAAAAATATAGTCGCAATATACTCCCTCCGTTCCAAATTAGTTGACGCATATTTAGTACAAATCTGCGTCAACTAATTGGGAATGGAGGGAGTGGTAGTCAACCATGATGTTCTATTCCAGTCCTGTTACAGACCAACTAGGGTTCTTGATTACATAGTGGTTCACGTTCTGAAATCACAGCAGCAACACTACTTTTCTCAGCACGGTCAACGAGTATATGGAGTCATCTAAACAAAAACATGCAACGGCACCACTAATCTTGTACATGGCACAACTAAACAGAGCAAAGAAAAACAAATAGCAGACCAGTTTCAAACACCAAACAGATTTGGCTAAGAGCTAACAGATTTTAGGAGATACAATCATCAAGTTTTAGGAGGTACAAACACCAGTGAACCGCACAAAAACTATACAAACATACACCCACTAACAAATTGAAGGAGATTGGGACTCGAACCTGGATTTTGGAATGTAAGGCTAAGAGCTCAGCACGTTTCTTGCGGAGTTTCTCCATAAATTCCACATCGTCAAGGTACTTCAGAAGATAAACACACAAGAAATAATTAGTCAACTGGTCAATCAATTTCCCACAAAATGGTTCTTTACCACACAATTTATGGCATTACATCAAATGACTCTCCTATCCTTTCTTCCTCTTCTCTCAGTTCTTCTTCTTCATCATCGTCTTCCTGCACCCGAGGAAAAAACACATAATTAACGTTGGCGCAGCAAAACAAATATGCCACTGCAAAAGATGGACCAACACTGAAGATACTAAAACGCTAGCTATTATATATGTTACCATACCTTGTTCTGGGCGTCGCGACACACCTCGTCGTTACATGTATCATAACCAAGGGAGAGATCAGTGTGGCCGCAATCAAAATGAGTAGGGGGGGGGGGTGCTTCAGATGAATACTTCCATTGTTCGTACAACCATGGCAGTGAACATCTAAAGGAAGACATGAGTGAGATTTGTCATTTAAGTGCAAGATAACCAGCCTGGCTCAGATACACGAGGATAGCTGAATAAGTGGCAAAAGAAAAAAAGCATGATTGCAGCAGCACATACAACTGGTTGTGTGTGAACCAGTTCGATTGCGATATTACAAACATAAAGCTATGTATGGTAGAAGATGGCACAAAATGGGCAAACAGTCAATAGTAACAGCTCCACAATAACCAGAAACGCATTCGCAGTTATATCTATCAGCTAATTTCAAACTGTATTCCAAAACTGCTTAATTAATATAAGAGTGTATACTACCCTTGCCGTCAGGGTTAACCCCGCAGAAACTGTTGAGAAAATATCCTGCCACAATGTTTTGACCTATATCTAACAGCTAATTTCAAACAGTATTCCAAAAATGCTTAATTTAAGATAAGAGTGTACACCACCCTTGCTGTTAGGGTCGATTCTGCAGAAACTGCTGAGAAAATATCCCGGCGTATCGCTTTGATCAAGTGTGACTTCAGCGAAGAATTGATTGACACTGCCCGCATCATCATCAACTCCTTTAGTTTTCATAGTGATATTGCGATGGTAGTACCATGCATTGGGACCTTCGCAGATTGATTGCCAATGCACAATATCTTTGAGTTCATACTCGAAACCCTAGAATGAGCATGGGTTGGATCAGTAACGTTGCATGCACAAAGCATCAGCAATAAAATACGGTAATCCTGGTAGTGGGACTGAGTGAGGGCGAGCGGGGTGGAGAGAGAACGAACCTCATCGTCGTGCTTCTTGTCCAGTAAAGCTTCAACCAGTCTGTGCACATTCTCCGTTTCCCTCTCGGCTATTTTCAAACTTGTGGCGACCTTCCTCGTACCATCTGACCACTCAAGAGATTCACGTATAAGACGCTCCTTTTTTGTTTCCTTGGACCTAATTTTAGATCAGACAGAGCATACGATTAATAGATGTTACGTTCTTCAGAGAAGGTAAGAGATTCTCTTTTTTTTTAAGAGCGAAAAAGAAAGAGAGCTCAGAACATTACGTGTCAGTGCTACTGTCACGAGCATAGGTATGGAGAGCACTTGCAATTGCATCAAAACTCTGGAACGGCCGACCTGGCAGCTCTGGATATGAGTGATACACTCCTGAACGATCCACTCTGACGTAGACTGGTGTAGGCAAACGGAAATGCCTCCAGGCCATAACATGGTCGGTGTTCCAGTAAGGATTGGGAACCCTGCAGTGGGAAGGCTCGGTCGATGAGTACAAGAATGATTGTATGTTAGATGTTAGAGCGTCTACAGGCGCGTCAAAGCCGCCTCATACTCTATCTGGTCGCGAAATTTCGATCTAGACAGACGCCTTAAATGAGCCTCAAACGCCCAGGTTTACTGTCTCCCCTTATATCCAACCAAAATATGGGGCGGACATGAGGCGTCCGGGCATGAGGCAGCTCGACCCCGCCGCAAATTATACCAAATTCATTAAACCCTTCCTCATCCTCCCGCCACCCTTCAACCTTTCCCGCGCCAGAGCTCTCATCGTCCGCCACCCTCACCTCTCCCATCCTCACCATTGGCCCCGACCCGCCGCCGTAGATGTCATCCAGCTCGACCTCGACCGTCGCGATGGAGACGCAGTCTGCCTCATCCGTAGTCGTCCCTTGCTCGGCTCCGTCTTGCAAGGCGGAGAACGTCGCCCAGAAGATACGGCGGCGGCGGCAGCCGAGAGAGGGAGGCGGCGGCGGCGCAGGGAAGTTCAGACATGGTCGAGCAGCTGTCTCCCCCGCCGTGCCCGGCACCCCACACCCTTTCCATCCGAGTGTCGACGCGGATTACGTCGTCTGACGCCGTTGAGACAGAGGAGGATTCAATGGTCGGCTAGGCTATTCCGGACAGCTTTCCACCGACGCATAACCTGACAATGGACGTATGTGACTCGCCGCAGCTCGTTCGGGCGCGGATGAGCACGGGCACCAGCGGCACTCGGGCTGCGCTCGACATGTTCGATGGAATGACCGAACAAGAGTCGGTACATTTTCTTTGCTCCTGTCCGATC